ATTGCTAATGACATATACCCCATTTTTCATTAACTTGTATCGCCGCTTTAAATTGTGTATCTATGTTTCTAGTGTTCTAGCTTATTAACTGCAAAAATATTCTATTGTGTATCCATGGTTTCTTGCATTTTTACTGACTGACCTTTATTTTTGTTTAAGGAGTACTGTCCTTTGGGGGAAGAGCATAAAAATGAGATTAATATAATACTAAAGTCCACCGATGATGGATTAGCCAAGTTGAAGTGTAATGTATATGGACAGAATGAATTAGCCAAAAAGAAAGAATATTTTAAGGTGTTTTCTTTGAGGGCTAATAATTATGACAAGAATGCAAAATGAGTTGGCAGAGTTGGAAAAGAAAATGGAAGACTTCTCCACTTAGAAATAAGCTCACTTATTTGCCCTACTGTATGGAACCTGAAGACATTCTCTCCTCTCCATCTCCCAAATATAGTCAATCCATGGTCAAGGCCTCATGTATTCTGCAATTAAGTGGAAGTAGGGTTTCCAAAGAATCTGCCTCTTTAATCAGAATTGTGTTTCATTCATTTTTAATTGTGCAAGCTGATGCAGTGCTGGCTCCATGAAGCTGTAGACTGCTTGAAGCAATAGCTGTACATTGTCTGGCCTACCCATTTTGTCTCAATGGGATGTTTGAATTTAGAAACTAAATAGGACAGTTTAAATGTCAGTATTAGTAATGATCCCACTGCAATCATCTTAGTGAAGCCTCCTGCTAATGTCCTTATCCCATAGTCCCAAACAGCCTCTCACACCTTCCCAAAGTAGTGACTCTGTATCCTGACACAAGTGGATGATAGTGGGTAACAACCTTTGAACGCTTCAGAACTGTATGGTATGCTAGGTCAAGGATTTTGATATTTGTGTGCTCTCCAGTCAGTACAATAGGCGAAGACTGGTTTACTTTAGAGTCAAAGAATTGTTGACATCATAACAGCATCAATAGGTTCCCTAGAGTGTCACAGCTAGCAGCCTTTTGTACAGCAGATAGTATACAGAGCCTCAGCAGTAAGAAAATGGGTAATAATGTCTGGAGTTCAAGCGACAGTAGTCATATTTATCATTGTCATTACAGTGGTGACAGATTAGAGCTCTTTAATGACATTACCCATGGCTGGGCTCAGGCCATGCAACATGGTTGGCTGTATGGGATGCCCCTTCACATCATTTTCTCTCTTCATTCAGAAGTATTGGTTGCTTTGCTGACATATTTAGAGCTCCCTGGGCAATTCTTGCACATCCTCGTAAAAGCTGTTTGACCAGATCAGGACATCAGAAATGTAAAAATTAACAGTGAGTTTACAGAAGTCAAGTAGCACTCACCACCAAGTGGAAGACATTCTCCTGATTGAATCTGTGTGCGCATAGGTACATGTAGTGCTGTGGTATACATGTTTGTATTGTGTGACCCAGACTTAAAAATAAAGCTGTTCTTCTCTAAAACTGTGAATAGAAAATGCAATATTTTGCAACTGGAAAGTTTTATGATAACTGTCGTCTTTTGCTGGTTACATAAATTGGATTTGATGACCAATAGAACAGCTTTTCTTTGAAACAACAACAGAAACTCAGATCTACTCTGTGTAATACATACACGGTAAAGAACAAAGAGAACCACTTTTAATACGATTAAAAATTACAAATGTGATGCACATCCTCAAATATATATTCAGCCTAATTCTCACAAAAACAAATATGGCTCTGGAGTTGCAGTAATAGTAAAAAAAAAAAAAAAAAAAAAGTTATCCTACTTATTCCACATCTATATTTGCCATTGATATAGTATATGTACATCACGTAAAACAGCTATGATTTTCTATCTGTTTGTGCATGCATATTTGCCTGCAATAATTAAATGATCTTTTTAAATAATATCTGTATATCATTACATTGAGAGAAAAAGAAACCAGCACAATGTATCATATAGTCATTTTCTGTAATCTGTGATTTGAGGAAAAAAATAGTTAAGATTACAGATATTAATAAAGGCGACATTCTATCCTGGTTGATTCAACAAGGGGAAGCAGAAACAGTCCCAGAGCCCTTCCCTTAGCAAACCTGCCATCCACAGTAGGATCCTGAAGTATATTATTAATCAGAACCACAGCTGACATCTCACTGCTGTTGAGTAGCTCTTGCTGTAGATTAAAGCAGTCTCATTTATTAGAAGGGGACATTTAGATGCTTCCCAGGCTGTACATGCTGTTGTGCTACCTGGCCATCTTTCCAAACACCCTGTTGAGATCTATGAAGAGAGTTCATCTAACCTCTCGTACATATGAAATAAGGCTCCCTATGTCCTTATACATTCAGGGTACATTGGTGTGAACACTATCAAAATTAAGGATGGATATCCCCAACTTGAACACCACTTCAGCAAAGAACACAATTTTGCTCCAAATTAATAGCTGATTTTAAATACCAAGCACAATACCCCAAATCATAAACAATTTGGATAAATTATCCTGGTCATTTAGAATATTAGTCAACCTCAATGACATGTTTTCCTTTTCAGTGATTTTAATCCCAGCATACTTTTTAATTCCTTTGCATAAACATTGTCCTCATCTTGATCTGGACAGAAAATTATCATTACTTTTAATAGGAACTGCATATAGAGATTAGGAGGTAAACAGATACCATACATTCTGCTGGGGCATATAACAATCCCAGTCTACAAAGCCAAATCATGAAGTAAAATTACAATTAAAATATATGTTAAATTGACAAGCATGTCATTAAAATGGTTTTCAAAATATTTGACTATTGGATTGTTGAATAGGGTTGCATTTCCAAATAATGAACTTTACACTGCATCTTTGAGATCCAGACTGAAGAATACACAGCTAATTTTGACAGAAATACTTTATATTAAAGACCTGTGTATATACTATCTTAAATCACTTAAAATGGACAGATGCTTGTTTATTAACCCTTGTACAGAAAACCTGGCTTTTTTAAATATAGCACAATTAATAGTAGTGCCATAGCACAGGAACTAACTGTTATATTTTCAGTGCTTTACCCCAGCCAATGTCCACTTTGATATGATTGAATTGTAATATATTTTTTAAAGAAAATCTATAAGTCATGTCTGGCTTTTTTTCTCCCTCAGTTGTAACAAAAATTGTTTCATTGTTGAAATATTTCTATTTTCCAAAGATGACTGATGCTCATCATATTGCCCTTCACTACTGAGACTTTCACTACATGTGCTAGTAGGTTACTGTAATAAACTTTCTAATAAAAGATTTGAAATATCGTATTTGATTTTTGTCAATATGTTTTCTTCTTTGTCCAGAGGCATGGTGACCATATGCCCCATTTTGTCTGGGATAGTCCTCATTTAAATATCTTTTCCAGGTGCTCCCACTGATTTGGTCAAATTAACGTGCAGGGCACGTTATTTGTCTCCACGCATCTTTTTGATACAGAAAGGCAACGGAGTCTTTGAAGACTCCAGTGATATCAAGCAGCAAATTGTTTTCCTAACTGTATTCTAGCAGTAATTATATATATTTTTTCTGATTAAGGAGAATAATTTATTACATTCCCCATGGCACGTGAAGAGCAAGAGTGTTTCATCTCTCACATATGATTAATGTGTGATTAATGCTCCCATGAGCATGAACAGGTGGCATTGATGAAGTCTTTTTTTTTTGAAGAATACAGACAATTTCTTTGTGCTGCAAGGAATCTTGTGAAAATTTCTTTCATAACACATAAAATGGAGGAAACTTGTCACTAGATCACTAGTGCTTGCATTGTGGCAGGATTTACTACATTATTCCCTTCTATTTTTCTAAGATTTTAAATAGCATTGAATGTAGACCATGTAACGGGGTTGGGTCTGTGAACATAAGTTGCATACTGGGTAAGTACAGCCTATCTAGTATTCTGCCAACAGTGGCAGTACTAGGTGTTTTAAAGGGCATACATAGCGTGATCCATCCCCTGTCCCACCTTGACATTTTACCATCATTGGTTTAGAGATGCCAGATGATACATCCCTGACTGTGTTCTGTTAAATAGCTATTAATGGACCTATGACCTATGGATTCCTTTATTCTCCTTTTGAAGTTGGCTATGCTAGCTCCTTCTACAATCTTCTGTGGCAATTAGCTTGGGACTGTGGGGCTAATGGAAGTAAAATCTTACTTTTTTCTCACAAACGTAGGCCAACATGCTTCTAAATACATGCCAGGGAAGTACTGTTGAGTAAAACGTTTTCCCTCATTACTGCTCTGCCTATAATTATAGTAAATATTTCAAAGAGTGTGCACAAAAGAGAGGTGTAGATGCTCTGTAGATATTTTCAAACCAACAGAATAGATGTCTGAACTCAAGGGCTTGGAACCCAGCTGCAGGCAGTCAGCAGGTGATAGTGTACCTGGCTGGGAGGATGGAGGCCAACTGGAAGTGATGGTCTGCTAATGAAGGTGGAGCATTCAAGAGGCTTAAGAACTCCAGGAGAAAGTGCTGAAGGAGGAGAGGGTAAGCTGTTTTGCTGGGAATAGGACCAGAGCTAAAATTGCTCCTCGCTTAATGCCTGGGAGAAGGCAGAAGGGTTTGGTTTGCTTGTTCTGTTTGTTGTGGAGGCAAGGTGCCCTGTGTAAAATAAACTGGTCCAGGATCCTGAAACCAGAGCTGACTCACGAACCCCGCTTACACTGAGAAAGCTACCTTCATAAGGCTTCAAATATGTATAAGACTACAGATCGGGTTTGTATAGTTACATAAACATTGAACATGTCAAGCAAGGCTTCGTGGGTCTTGTGTTTTGGGGTGCAGTATGATCATTTCGGGCTGTCTTATAATACACCTTTCTCTATGGCACTCAATATTGGCCACTGTCAGAGATGTGATACTAAGTTAGACGGAGGTCTGCTGAGGCATCCTGGTACAAATAATTGTATTCTAGACAGTTATACCTGTTCTCAACTGCCTTCCCAGAGCAGAATTG